AAGAGCGCTGTCCATTACACATGCTGCATTGGGATTGGTTAATTTTAAAGGTGGGCTGATTAATGTACGAGGAACACAGATAGGGCGAAAGCGGCCAGAAGGAATGCATGAGAGAAACACCAGCTCGTAAAAGAAGGTAAGGTAAGTCTTTGCTAAGTTTCATTTTGTAATAAGACAGCTCCCGATGTAAGACAGACATTGCCATCTTATGTAACTATCGGCCATCTTGTGTAACTAACCGACTGAACTTCAGCTAGCAGCAAGCTAGTGTTAATATGTTCACTGAGAACTTATTAACATAAGCATACAAAAAGCATTCAATAAAATCAGCTATTTACAATTTCGGACACAATGCTGTGATTTAAAGACGAAATGTCCGTTTTAAGCTCGTGTTTGCTAAAATTCATGGCGTGCTAAACTAATCTGTTCAGTAGCATGTTAGATTTGACTCAACAGAAGTATCTACTCTCTACATCAGTTTAAACTATTTTAGAGTAGAGTTCATCTTAGGGCTAAGCGCTAGTTGGCTGCCTTCTCTTTAAACTGTACAGCTGAAGCTCTGTTTAATGGTTTAATTTAATTAGACTACATAACAGATTTATAACTATGTGTAAAGATAAAGAGAAAAAACATGACTTGCCTTGAGTTAGTGCCCAGCTCTGCCTCTCCACTCAGATGAGGCTGTGAGAGAATGAACTCCAGCGGGAAGGGAAGATGTTGTTTTGGCCACTCTCAGCTCTTCACTACACGGGTTTCTTTTACGCGACTTCGACCACATATTAGCAAGGAAGGGATTGTGACTTCAGAATCTTTTATTCAGGTATATAAAATAAACATTTTTACAAGTCATAGAAATGCCTTGAGCATAATCTACTTAACAATCCATTCATATATAACACAAACATACCAGTTCAAGATAAAGCCTATACAATCAAATCCAACGTGGTTTCGGGACAATATGTGCGCATGCGCGCGCGTTTAGTTTCGTATGGTTTGGTTTCGTATGTGCAGGTTTGTAAGCAAGAGATTTTGTATTCCCGTAGAAAATGAAATAAAAATCGATCTTAGTGAACAATGAACAATCACATCTAGATATATTTCTTTGAAATTACACAGCAGTAACTTCATTAATCATTTTTTTTCCTGCATAATTTCAAAGTAATATAGTAATAATAATAATATAGTAATATAGTAATAATCATTGTGATTTTCAAATCGGTGAAAATGGGTTGTGTGGGTACCTGAGGGTGTCCCCTTTGCAGAGAACACCTTTGTTATTTTTTTAATTATTATTTTATTTGAAGTTAAGTGCAATTCTTACTGTGAAATGTGGTAATGATTTTCCACCACCACTGTTACTCTATGTAAGGAGGATTCATCTATAATTTGTGCTTTCTTTTATTATTGCAGTCTACATCATGCGCTGTGGCACACTGGATGGATGGATGGATGGATGGATGGACACCAGTTGAGAAAACTAAGGTCAAAAAAAGCCTTGATAAACAAATGCCACATGAAGGCCACAAAGACTCTATAAATTCTTGAATGTTTCACACCAGATGGATGGACATTTGTTGAAAAAATCCTCACATACAATTGTTGCATGAGGACCTCAAAGTTGCCAAATTTTGTATGTTGTACAACTGTGGTGAACACTGTTCTAAATACATAGTCATAGTGAGAAGATGCACATTTATAGTTCAGATTTTATTAATGATGCATGGGACAAGTTCTTGCTGTCTTACAAGTTTTAACACAGCTAATTAAAATGCTACATTGTGATTGTTTGGGTTTTTTTTTGTATTAATTTGAACAAGCTTGGGCCTCCTATTTCACACTCAAAACCACGGGTGTGAGGCATACTGCAAAACCTAAGTATATTTGTATCATTTCTATCTCTCAGTTCTTCAGCTCTCAATTTACCAGTCTGTACACTACCATTCAAAAGTTTGGACACATTTTCTCATTCAAGTGAAGGTGAAATTGTGTCCAAATACCATCCAACTGGTAGTGGATCTTCCATCAATCATCTATTGTCACAAGTCAGTGAGGGTGGCTGGACTGTGCCGTTGTTTCCTCACTCACGTTCCAGTGATATTACGAGATGAGATAGACCAGGACTAGCTTGTTCAGTAGCCCAGTACCTGTTATTGTACCTTAAATGCAATCTGAAGATATCTCCATTGTCAAATTTTTTTTTGTCAAGGTTCTAGCCCTGTCATTGTGGGGGAAAAAAAATCATTAATATGCAGGGCATTGCTCTGCGTTGTTGTGTAGGGTAAACTTGGCCATTTTAATAAAGAGTTCATTTGTTTCAGCATTTGTGAAATTGTCCTTATATGGAGAAGAGTGTGTATATATAGTAATGGGAGAAGAAAATTATATATATTTGTGTGTATATATATGTATGTGTGTGTGTATGTGTGTCAAATGCATGCCTCACATATTACGCCATAGTAGCTCCAGTACTGCTCATTTTCTTCTCCTAATTACAAGAAATGAGCCATCAATGAGACTGAGCAAGGTATCGCCCTCGAGTCTCAACTATGACTCCTGGTGCTAATTGCTTGTCTCACCTATTTCTCCTAGTGAATTTTAGGAGCATCATATGAGAAAGAGGTCAGACAAAATCGAAACTAAAATGAGGCTGCAATAGATAATTTTGTCTCCTGAGCTGTTGAAGAGTAACCATTGAGCAATAAAATTTTCCTCTGGGATGGTAATGTGAAAAAAGTGACATTTGAAGTGCAGACAGTCACTTTTTTTTCAAAAGTGCTCTAACTAAGCTTGTTTACACTGGTGCTTTTCAGGCTGTTAAAACGCTATACAGCGATTCTCAAGCTGCTGGGAGCTTAGGAAAGTGTTTTTTCTAACAAACTCATATAATCATGTGCGTGACATCTTCCAAAATGATTTCACAGCCATAATATAATACTAGGACATGTATCTGACCTCAAATGATATGAAATATAATTGTTTACATTAAAATGTACAAGTTCCCAATGAAGTATGGTAATGTGAAAAAAGTGACATTTGAAGTGCAGACAGTCACTTTTTTTCAAAAGTGCTCTAACTAAGTTTGTATACCACTACAGTAAAATGCTTTGTTTGATGGACTAAGGTTAAAACAGCCAGATAGGCTGTTTAGCTTCTTGGGCAAGGGATTTGATTCTCACTTCCGGTGTGAGATGTCCTATTTTGAAATCTTGAATGAGCCTTTACCTTCGTTTTAACTTGTCCCTCTGTAATCGAGGGAATTATTGCTCTTCAATTCAACCACGATGTAGTTACCCAAAGGGTGCGAGAGGTCCTGGTTTCAAATCCCGGATGAGCCCAAGGGTTATGTTGATAGGCCTTCCTCTTGGCTGCTTAGTTCATGAGAGGTTCACCTTGCAGATATGTGTTTCTGTAATCTTGTTCTTCCATATGCTGTTCCCTTTTTGCTCTGACACATTTCAGGAAAGTCCAAATTCAGGGACAACTCCTTTCAGGTTTGCTCTCACTATTGGTTAGCTTCTTGGAGGGCCAACTTAGGAGATGAGAACTTGTAAACTCTCTACGTCATCACAGCTTTGTATTAAAAGCAGTGCTAACCTGTGCATGTTTAAATGAAGAAAAATAACAGTACCTTGAGGTAAAACAGCCAGATTGGCTATTTCACTTGTTGGTCTAGGTGTATGATTCTAATGTTGGCTGAGAGATGTCTTGGGTTGAAATCCCTGGTGAGCCCTTACCTTGCTGTTAACTCTAACTTCTGTAATCGTGGACATTTTTTTTTCTTCACCTCAACTGAGCTTCATAATGATCTGGCTGCTTGGCTCTCAAGAGGTTCTCTCCAGAAAGGGTCAAAACCAAGCTGAGCCCTTGCTTTTTTTCTCAACTTATCCTTCTGTATCTGAGGGCTGTTGTGATCGGACACCAATACCACAAGGAAGCTATCCATCATCGTTAGGCGAATGCCATCTTCAGCTGTAAGAACCAGCAAGCTCTCCATGTCACAATACAAGGTTCACAAGATAGTTAGTCGAATGCTGGCTGAGAGCATTTTGTGATGTGAAGAATCCAGCTGTGAATAAGGAGCACTAATATGCTTGACTGCTTATCACAGAGACCCTTTTCAGGAAATGCACATTCCAGAAGAAATCATTTTCAGCAATGTTCCAATAGAGGATAAAAGGAGGATCTTGCACACTGACCATGAGCACAACGTAAGTTCCGAGTTTCTACCATTTAACATTGGCTTCCTTTGTGTTCTTTGGACTGTACCTAGAAGTGTCCATCTCTGAGTAAAAAAATAACCTGATTCAGAGAAAATCAGTCAAAAGAACACTGGTTGGGGATGTCCCCTATCCATCAGAATGTAGTTGATGGAATCATGGCTAAATAAACATCATTTTGGGTTGTTTTTGGCTTGTTATGAAAGCGGATAGCTTGTTGCGACCTGCTGGGGAATCAAAAACCCTGCTTCGCGATATCTCCCATCTCCCAAAACAATAATTTATAGACTTGTTTGAATAGAGCGAAAGCAGCAAAGCCCTGTGGATTTTTAGAAAAAAGGCATAGGTGACATGAAAATTCTATGAGAGTAATATCTTGTGCAACTACCTGAAAAGTTTAGCATGAACCTGCAGACCAATAAGGGCATATATTAGCAGTTAGAAGAATTAGAAGTTGGTCCTTCTGCAGTTTTGTTCAGTACACCTTTCAGGGAAGCCCATGCTTAGGGAGCGCTTGTTTCACCAGGCAACCACAGCTTTCTAATCAAACCAGTGCTCAGCCATTTTAATTTGATCTCTTAAGACAAATGCAAAAATACCTGTATCAGGCACCGATACCACTAAATTGAAATGGCTGGTGTGATGGACTAAGCTTGGAACCATATTGGAAAGGAAAGTAGAACTTTGCAGGATGTCTAGTCTTGACAATGTTTTGACGGTTGTGCAAATGGAAATGAACAAAAACAAAAGTACCTTGAGGTAAAGCGGCCTGATAAGCAATTTGGCTTGATGGTCTACGGGTACGATTCTAATTTTGGGTGACAGTGGTCCCGGGTTGAAATCCCTGATGAGCCCTTTCATTGCTGTTAACTCATCGTTCTCTACTCGAGGAAATTTTTGCTCGTCACCTCAACCGCGCTTCATGACATAGTTAATGTCAAGAGGTTGTCTCCAGCCAATTGTCATTTTGCTCGGACACCTTTCAGGGAAGCCCATTTTCAAGGACTCCCCTTTCAGGTTTAGTCTCCCTATTGGGTAGCACCTTGGAGGACCAACTTCATAGATGAGAACTTTCAAACTCTCTATGTCATCACAGCTTTGAAATAAAACCAGTGCTCAACAATATCATTTTGATCTCTGAAAAAAACCCAAAAATCATTGTAGCAGGCACCTATACCACTACAGTGAAATGGTTTGTTTGATGGACTAAGGTTGAAACAGCCAGATAGGCTGTTTAGCTTGTTGGGCAAGGGATTTGCTTCTCACTTTCGGTATGTTGAAATCTTGATTGAGCCCTCACCTTCGTTTTAACTTGTCTCTCTGTAATCGAGGGAATTATTGCGCTTCGATTTAACCACGATACAGTTACCCAACTGCCAAGAGCTGTCTGCTTGGTTCTAGCTTGACTGCTAGGTTCTCATGAGTTTTAACAAGTTGCAACTTGTCCTTCTGTAACAAAGTTTCATTTTGGTCATACTAGTCACGTCGAGTAAGCTTTCCATCATCGTTCACATCTTTCACAGTAATATCTTGTGCAACCATCTCAAACTATTTGCGTGAACCTGCAGAACTGTAAGGACTTACAATTGCAGGGTACAGTGGAACTCCAGGGGTCCAAGGTGTGGGCAGTTTGGCTCGTTGGTCTAGTGTTATGATTCTTGCTTAGGGTGTGAGAGGTCCTGGGTTCAAATCCCAGATGAGCCCAAGGGTTATGTTGATAGGTCTTCATCTTGGCTGCTTAGTTCATGAGAGGTTCACCTTGCAGATATGTGTTTCTGTAATCTTGTTCTTCCATATGCCGTTCCCTTTTTGCTCTGACACATTTCAGGGAAGTCCAAATTCAGGGACAACTCCTTTCAGGTTTGCTCTCACTATTGGTTAGCTTCTTGGGGGGCCAACTTAGGTGATGAGAACTTGTAAACTCTCTACGTCATCATAGCTTTGTATTAAAAGCAGTGCTAACCCATTAACCTGTTTAAATGAAGAAAAATAACAGTACCTTGAGGTAAAACAGCCAGATTGGCTATTTCACTTGTTGGTATTTCATTTGTTTTTGTTCATTTCCACTTGCACAACCGTCAAAACATTGTCAAGACTAGACATCCTGCAAAGTTCTACTTTCCTTTCCAATATGGTTCCAAGCTTAGTCCTTCACACTAGCCATTTCAATTTAGTGGTATCGGTGCCTGATACAGGTATTTTTGCATTTGTCTTAAGAGATCAAAATAAAATGGCAACACAGCCAACTGGAGTTCCACTGTACCCTGCAATTGTAAGCACAACATATTACTGTGAAAGATGTGAACGATGATGGAAAGCTTGCTCGAAGCTTGCTGGTTCTTACAGCCGAAGTTGGTACACCAAGACACTAAACCAAAGGTAGAAAGCGTGGATGCCCTGAAAAGGGGCTTTTGTGATCATCAGACTAGCATCAAAACAGTCCTTTATCAGAGCTTGACTGTTGACATCACAAGATGGCATTCGCCTAACGATGATGCTTGCTTGTGGTATTGGTGTCCGAGCACAACATCCCTCAGATAAAGATGGATAAGTTGAGAAAAAAAACAAGGGCTCAGCTTGGTTTTGACACTTTCTGGAGAGAACCTCTTGAGAGCCAAGCAGCCAGATCATTGTGAAGCTCAGTTGAGGTGAAGAGAAAAAAGTTAGAGTTAATAGCAAGGTAAGGGCTCATCAGGGATTTCAACCCAAGACATCTCTCAGCCAACATTAGAGTCATACACCTAGACCAACAAGTGAAATAGCCAATCTGGCTGTTTTACCTCAAGGTACTGTTATTTTTCTTCATTTAAACATGTACAGGTTAGCACTGCTTTTAATACAAAGCTGTGATGACGTAGAGAGTTTACAAGTTCTCTTCACCTAAGTTGGCCCTCCAAGAAGCTAACCAATAGTGAGAGCAAACCTAAAAGGAGTTGTCCCTTAATTTGGACTTCCCTGAAATGTGTCAGAGCAAAAATGGAACAGCATATGGAAGAACAAGATTACAGAACCATATATCTGCAACTTGAACCTCTCATGATCTAAGCAGCCAAGCAACCCAGAGGTAGACCATCAACATCACTCTTGGGCTCATCCGGGTTTTGAACCCGAGACCACTCGCACCAAAAATTAGAATCATACTCATAGACCATCAAACCAAATTGCTTATTAAGCTAGTTCACCTGAAGGTACTTTTGTTTTTTTTTTTCATTTCCACTTTCACAACTGTCAAAACATAGATAAGACTAGACATCATGGAAAGTTCTACTTTCTTTTCCAATATGATTCCAAGCGTAATCCATCACTCACATTAATTTAACACAGTAATACACACACATGTAGTGTAGATGCCTGCTACAGTTTTTTTTTTCTTTTGTATTCAGAGGTCAATGTGACATGGGTGAACACTGGTTTTATTACCAAACTGTGGTGACATAAATACTTTACAAGTTCTCATCGCTGAAGTTGGCCCCCCAAGCTGCTAACAATAGGGAAACTAAACCTGAAAGGGGGAGTTCCTGAAAATGCAAACTGCATTTTGGTCAAGAAGACAAATATACAGGAATGATTGTGTTCATCTGGTCTTTGAACATCTCCTGAACTAAGCAGCCCTGCACGAACTAGGCAGCCAGGATTTCGTTAGTACTTTCCACCCAGAGGTAGACTATTCAACATAATAGCTGGGCTCATCCACAATTTGAACCCTCTCAAACCTCTCAAACCCTACGCAAGGCTCATACCACTAGAGCCAACTCACATATGCTTATGTTACATGCACCACTGAAGTTCCACATTACTCTGCATATGTCCTTACAGTTCTGCAGGTTAATGTTAAACTTTTGAGATGGTTGCACTAGATAGTATTGTGAAAGATGTGAATGGTGATGGAAAACTTGCTTGTGGTGACTGGTGTCTGAGCAAAACGGCACTCAGTTACAGAAAGACAAGTTGAGAAACAAGCAAGCTCTCTCTTAGGTTTTGAACCTCATTAGATCTCTTGAGAACCAAGCAGTCAAGCGAGAACCAAGTAGTCAGATTTTGCTATTCAAGTAAATATGTCGTGGTTAAAGTGAAGAGCAAATATTCCATAGATTACAGAGGACAAGTAAAAAGGAAGGTACATATGTGTCCATTAAAAATGTATGAGAAAGATAACATGATCCTGAGAACAAGTACGCTGCGGTGTCAGTCAGTGAGACAAGCCTGTTATGTTGTAGTCGAGTCACATTCTTTGAGGGGGCAAACTGATTTCTAAAAGTGTAGTGAAGATGACATTACATTACATTGAACATTTAAACAAATGACCTCATCTGGATTGACAATATGTTATTTCAAAGCTAAGGCTCTGATATTTGACCACTGTTTATTATAGTGTTAATGTTATAGTGACAGTACTTGAATAATATCATTGAACAGTAAGGGAGGCTAGCTAGAGCTACAAGAGCATCTTTCATTCTGTGTCACAGTACGGCCAGCATAGGGCACTGTGGCACTGGGTTTTGCCATGGAACCGATCACGTGTTCTTTGTTTTGGTTTGTGCTTCCTGATTTGACACCGGTGTTTGACATTCTGTTAATTATGTTTACTTTGGGTAAACGCCGCATATTTAAGGCTCCCGAGCAACGAAGCACGTTGCTCAGTATTATCGAAATGGTGGTAAGACTAGCGGGAGTCGTTCTAGTTATGGTCACGCTATTATAAGTGAGCGGACTTCAGGTTTATTCATGCTTTGTTTGTTTGATCTTTATGTTTTCGTTTAATAGAGTTTGATCTGCGATTGCCTCCGTCTCCCATCTACAACCCCGTGACAGAATACCGAGCCAGCATTCACGGAAACAGCGGATCATGAGGAAGAAAGCCAACCGCCTCGCCAGAGAAGCCGCGGAAGCACGGCAAAGAAGCCGAACTCGCGATCACCGTCCGGTATCCCCGCCCTGGAGTCAGTGCATTTTCTGCAGCGGTTTAGGGAAGAAATGCCGGGCCAATACTCTGGTCGTTACGGCGGTCTGGAGTTCTTCATCCGGGACTGCCAGAGTTATTTCTCCAGCTTAAGTGAACCGAAACCAGCCGAGGGACAGTTCGTTTGGTTCATTATGTCTCGCTTTTGTGACCCGGCTCGCACATGGGCAAAGCAGGTCGCGTCCGTGAGACCGGAAGTGCTGGAGAGTGTGCAGCAGTTTCTGGACATTTTTTTTGCAAAGTTTGGAGATCCAGGAAGGAGGTACGATCTGGATGACTTGCTCAAGGATGTGATTTGGCCGGCCGATGCGGGACCCCTCTTTCACGAGCATTATGCGCAGGTGAGACAGCGATGGGAAGCAGATGGGAAACTCACAGCACAGCCAGCTAAAGCTCCGTTCCCGGTCACGTCTCCAACTCTTGTTACAGCTCCAATCCTGGCCACACCCCCTGAGCTCACTCACCAAGCTCAGCCTGAGCCGCCCCAACCTCTGCCATGAGAAGAAAGTGCACCGCACTTTCTAGTAAGTGGAATCTCCTCATCTCCAAGTCTGCAGACTCAATTCTCAGAATCCCTACCCTGTCACCAGCCCCTGTCAAGTCTCAGGTCACAGCTACGTCTCAAACTCCAGTCACAGTCACTCAGGATAAGAAGGATTCTGGAACTCAGAGGCTGTAGATGGCTGAAGAGATGCGCAAAATGCAGCTGGAAATGGAACGTTTACGCAGCGTGTTGTCTGGAAGGGAGTCCCAGTTACAAGCAACACAAGTCCTGCTGCAGGAGAGCGAAGAGGAGCTGGAAGAGGAGAGAAAGCGGAGCGCTTGGGCCGTTACAGTGAAGGAGACTTTTCAGTACCTCCTGTCCCAGCGCGAAGCTCATCTCATCCAGATGGTGGAGGTGTAAACCGAAGCACATGGACAGCTAAGGCAAGCCCAGACTCAGGTTGAGGACCTGAAGTGGAAGAACTCAGAGTGCGAGAGATGCAGCACTGAACATTGAGAAACAGAATAAGACTCCGATGGCCAAAGTGAAGGAGCTGGAAGGCTCGATCAAAGCAAAGTCTCAAGTATGTGATTTCCAGGTTCAGACCCAGTCTCAAGTATGTGATGTCCAGGTTCAGACCCAGTCTCAAGTATGTGATGCAAAGGTTCAGACCCAGTCTCAGGTCCACGATGTCCAGGTTCAGACCCAGTCTCAAGTATGTGATGGCCAGGTTCAGACCCAGTCTCAGGTCCACGATGTCCAGGTTCAGACCCAGTCTCAAGTCCTGACCAAGTCTCTGAGTTATGATTTCAAGTCTCCGAGTTACGAGTTCAGGTCTCCGAAGTTACGAGTTCAAGTCTCCGAGAGCCAAGTTCAAGTCCCCGAGAGCCAAGTTCAAGCCAGTCCAGACCAGTTATCAGGTTCCTGCCACAGCTAAGTCTAAAGACCTTGTCCAGTTTCATGTTTCACTCACCACTCAAGCTTCAGCCACGACTCTCATCCAAGCTCAAGCCAGGCTTCTTGTCCTAGTTCACGCCATGTTCCAAGTCCCGCTCCAGGTTCCAGTCCCTGTTCTGTTCCAGGTCTCAGTCCCTGTCCCACTCCAGGTCCCTGTCCATGTTACGTCCCATGTCCCGGTCCCTGCCACGTCCCACGTCCCGGTCCCTGTTCTATCTCTGGTCCCACTCCCTGGTACGCCCCAGGTCATGGTTCCTGTCACATCCCCAGTCCAAGTCCCGTCCCGTGGCCGTGCCACTGCTCTGCCTTACGATTCCGACTCCACAGCTCTGCTTCATGGTCCTGACACACTTGCCACGTCACTGCCTCACGTCATGTCTCTAGCTACGTCCCTAGCTCATGTCATGCCTCTAGCCACGTCCCTAGCTCACGTCATGCCTTTCGCCACGTCTTGTGTCATGTTTCTAGCCCCAGTCATGTTTCTCGCCAGATTTCTCGTCAGGTTTCAAGCTCTCGTCATGTTTTTACTCCTGTTTCCGGCCACACCTCTGAGCCCTGTTCCGGCCATGCCTCTGAGCCCTGTTCTGGCCATGCCTCTGAGCCCTGTCTGTTCCACTGGGGACGCTGCCCAGTCTCTCTGTGTTCTGTCACAGTGCGGCCAGCAGAGGGCACTATGGCACTGGGTTTTGCCATCGGACCAATCACGTGTTTGTTGTTTTGGTTTGTGCTTCCTGATTTGTGTTTGACATTCTTAATTATTAGTTAATTATGGGAGTCGTTCTAGTTATGGTCACGCTATTATAAGTGTAGCGGACTTCAGGTTTATTCATGCTTTGTTTGTTTGATCTTTATGTTTTCGTTTAATGAAGAGTTTGATCTGCGATTTTCTCCGTCTCCCATCTACAACCCCATGACATTCTGCAAGAGAATAAAAAATTAGTACATTGAAGTATTATTTTATATTACATGTTTAAATTGCAATGCATTCCTGTCTATACTTAATAAATAACAAAACATCACTGATTCATAGACAAAAATATAATTGTGTCAGTAGCCTATATTAATTTCTTTAATTATAAAACTAATGTTTTAATTAAAACAAACAAATAAATTGATGACCTTTACTGAATAGTAAAAAGCATCCCATAGTTTTGTATTTCTGCATAGTTTTTAATTTGACTGTCATTTGCAATGCTTTATGGGATTGTAGTTTATTCCCACATTGAGGACATTAAGTACCCAGTCTTGTAGGTATAGCTAGCCTTGTGTTTTAACCCCCCATTTCTGCATCATGTAGTGACAATATATTTCTTATCTTAGCAATATTTCTGAGATGAAAGAAGGCTATCCTAGTAATATTATCTACATGAGCATCAAATTATAGACTGGAGTCAATAATCACTCCAAGGTGTTTTACTGCTGCACATGATGAAACGGAAAGTCCAGCCACTGTTACTATGTAATCAGAAAGCTTACTTCTAGCTGCATGTGGTCCTACTATAGGTACTTCTGTCTTATCAGAATTAAGTAAGAGGAAGTTAATAAGCATCCAATGAACTGATATTGATCGGTCAAATAAGACCTGAGCCAGGAGAGGACCATTCCCTTAATGCCAAATGCTTTCTAATCTTTCAAGGAGAAAAAATAGTGTGATCTATAGTATCAAAAGCTGCACTAAGGTAAAGTAATACAAGCAGCGAGACACAACCCTGATCAGAGGCCAGTAGAAGGTCATTTACTACTTTTACTTGCGCTGT